GTGTTTATACAATATGAACAACTGTTCTGTTGTGGCATACAGAAAAGAAGACATACCCCCCTGTGTATATTCTGTGTTTAGAGATGAGCAAAGTTGTGTTGACCTTCTGTTGATGCTTTAAAGACGACTGTTTAAATATTTGCAGAAGTCTGTCTTTTTAAAATACTGATGATGCTAAACAGAAACTGATACAGATGTAGATTTCTTTCATATTAGGATAAGGTTGCAGAGCTGTACTTTTACACAACAGGTTCTTTCTCTGTTACATGCTAGTATTGTGTAGAAGTTGCTGCTTTTCTTTGTTGCAGTCTCCTCTACTGGGCATTCCAGGTGTTCTTTCTGATAATGTCTGAATTGTACAGGCTTGAGTTAACTGTCCTGAAAGGAAGGCAAGTGATAATAATGAAAACAAGAGATTAGGAATGTTCACCCTAGAATATCTGGGGAAGTCTCCATGGAAACTGTACCTAGCTGTAAGAAGTACTTTTCAAAATAAACGGCTGGCTGCTGAGCTATGCTTGAAGTATAAGTTATTTAACAAATAAAACCGTTATGAAAGTATTTGTGCGGTTACATTCTGGGTAGAGTACCCCGAAGTGAATGCTTGAATTTGGAATTCCTGTAGAGGGGACGGGGCTCTCTCTGCGCAGGCAGGACTCAGGGTCTGCGTTTTCAAAACTTCCCCCCTCTCCCTTTACGAGAAGGGGCAGTAATGCAGAGCTGTGCGGGGCAGAACTCGGGAGGTGGGCCCCTTCCCCTGCGTGGGGGTGCGGGAGGGTTCCCCCGCCGTCTGTCCCGCCGCCGTGGGAAGCGGGCGGCTTCCCACGGGCGGCAGGGGGCGGCAGAGCGCGGGGCGGCGCGCGGCGGGAAGCTGCCCCAAGCCCGTGGGAGCGGTTCCCGTGGGAGCCGTGCCCGCGTCGAGCGGCGTGGCCGGCAGGGTTAGCGGGCCCCGGCCCCGCCAGTAACGCGTCCTCGGGTCTGCCAGCGTCGTTCTGGCTGTCAGTGGCTGGCGGGTTTCAGCGGAGAAGGTGGCGAACGTGTGGGGAGTGACAGGGGCAGGGAGCGGGGCCGCGAGTGGGTGCTGGAGCCAGAACGCGCTGGGGGGAAGCCGCAATGGAAGTTCAGGTTTTGGAATAAAGAAGAGTAGTGGAACAGCGTTCACTGTGCCCTTGGGGGCGGGAGTAGGCAATGCTGACGGTCTGCGGTACTCCTCTGTGGCCTGCAACTTCAAGTACTTCCCCAGCGTTCTCTCTCTCAACTGTCCCTATCTGTGGTCTTGGCTGACAATTCTTTGCAAGCATGAAACAAAAAACTGTGTTCTCATTAAGATTTCATAAAGATTTTTCCGTTGAAATTTGTAATTCATCTTTTCTAAAAAGAAGGAAAAAAAAAATGTTCTTGGAGAATTTATTTCCAAATCAGGTCAAACTTTTGTAATGCTAGTATCGACTCTTATTCAGCACTGCTGTTAACAAACCCTTACATGAATTAAACTTGGAGTTGTGTGTGCAGTTTTACTGGCATCACTAAGTTCATAGTGTCATTGATAACCGAGTGTGGTAGTGTTATGAACCCAGATGCTGCATAGCTTTTAGTTCCAGTTTACTAGGTTAACCATCTCAACCAATAATAAGAGGACTTTTTTTTTTTTTTTTTTTTTTTTTACCATAGTCACTATGGGATAGTTCTGTATAACTGAAGGAAAAAGTTGGTGGTTTGTTGGGGTGTTTGTTTTTTGTTGTTGTTTTTGTTGTTGTTTTTTTTTTTTTTTTCTCCCCTCCCTGTGCTATTACTGTAACTTCAAGCAGCTCCATTTGGGTGCTAGGATCCCCTCTCTGTCCAAAGCTGTATAAAAAGCAAAAAGATAGTATCAGAATGAAGAGCTTACAGAGAGCATGTATTAGACCAGAATTTGCCACTGGGACATGTGAACATACTAGTCAACACAACAGTCCATGTTCTCAGTGAAAAACTTCCTTTATTGCTGTGATACATATAATAGCTAAAAGACTCACAGTAAAGAAAGCTTTAAACAAGTAGTTAGAATGAGGCGTCTTAATGGATGTTTGAACTACTTTCAGAGCTATGAGACAAAATAGGAGATAGAACCAAAGTATTTGATCATTTCAGAAGTTGGAGATGAAGATGGGTGCAGTGGTCCTCTGGAAGTGGAAACTCCTCTTTGCATCCTGAGATGGGAAGAGTAAAAAGATATGCAAGCCAAGCCGAGTGACTTGTGTTTGACACAACCGAGAATGCGAGAAAAGTGGATGTGGTCAAAGGGACTGGTCAGAAAGGGCTGTTTTTGTAGTAGCTTTCTGAGAGGATACAAACAGGGAAGATGGCACAGTCGTATTGAAGTGTTTTCAGTAGTTACAAGATGACAGCCCAAATGAGAATATCATGCATGTAGATGAGCAGGAAACTTAGTTTTGTATGACAAAAATAATGGAAAGTTTTACTTTGTCTCGATGTGATTCAGAGGGTTAAATTGGAGGTGTAACCTCCTCTATCATTGCACCAGCATTTTAGGTAATGCAGTGGTATTGTTCATGGTGATTAAGAAAAGGGGGGAAAGGGAGAATTTGTACAACTGGTATTCTTTCATCATCTTAAACTGACAGCTACATATCCATGAGGAGCCACCAAGGGCACGTGTTAAGGCTTTGGACAGTAAAAGAGAAGTCTGTAGGCAATGTTAATGTTCTTTCATCAAGTTAATACGTATCTATTCTTGTCTTAAAATAAGAGAAATCACTTCCTTCTGCATGTGGTTGCAAATATACAGAAACCTTTTCCAGAATATTTGATTCATGAAACTTGTAAGATGATAAATACTTTTTGATACTAAAATCAGGGAGGCTTTGAAGCATAAAATCTGCAAGAAAATTAAATTCAATCTCATAATTAAGCCAAAGTTGATTATTTCCTTCACAGTTCTTATGCTAGTTATTAAAAAAAAAAAACAAAAAAAAAAACAACCAAACCAAAACAAACAAACAAAAAAAAAAACAACCCAAACCAAACCAAACCCAGACAGACTCCCCAAATCCCCCCCTCCTCCCCCCAAAAAAATAAAAAACAAAAATCCACCCCACCTTCTGGATTGAACTAGAATATATTCCTCTTCTTGAGACAGCTAGTTAAAACATGTATATTCAGTTTCTTACCAGAAAGCACCCTTTTCCCTTAGCCTGTAGAATTGGAGGGTGGAGGTTTCTTTCAATTGCTACTAGTGGAAGATGGGAGGAAGTATGGATTAAAATTAAAGCTGTGTGGTTCTAGAGTTTTTGCAATATCATCTGTTGATGTTGGCAAACTTCTGTACAGCTGTGAGGTAAATGAGAAACTTTTATTTTTAACATAGGAATACTTGTCTGTATTTCTTAGCCTTCAGGAATTTTTCACTGTCTCCTAATACTTTATTTTCACGTTTATTGTGAGTGCTGCACGTCTTGTACTAGGTGTTGAGGTTGGCATTTCACGATTCCCAGAACTTCCTCTGCCATTTTCAAGTTGCTGAATAAGATCATATGTTCTCTGGCACTCCCATACTTGGGTTGTTATCCTCAGAAATATTTTTAAATATTTAAAAGTAAGTGTTCTGTTTAAAAGAGAGTGTTTTACTGACTGGCAAGGGGTTTGCTGTCTACTACCAGCTTCCATACAAGGTATTGCATTTTTTATTATTTTGTTTTTAATCTAAAACATATTTTTATTTGCAGTGGGATTCCCTCTTCTGTTTTTCTCCTCTTTTTTTCTTATGAAGAGCTTAAAATGTCTCTTGCTGTAGTTTGCTTTATCAAGATTGTAACCTGTCATCTGTGTTCACTGCTTATACATCAACAGTATAAGAACAGTAGAACAAATTCTATTAAAGGACATTTCATGTATGTTGGAACTTGCTGACAGAAGGGAGTTGTCAAGTCCAGGAGCACAGATGATTCAAAAAAGGGAAATACCAGTTCTCTCTGCTTCTTATGAACTGTCACTCAATAGACTGGGTAATGAATGTTAATATAATGCCATTCTTTTACTGCTTTGCTCAGCAGTGAAATGGTTGATCCCTAGTGCAAGTTTTAATAACTTACGTTTCAATTTGTTACCCATATTCAAATGGATGCATAGAATAATTCACACTTAAAACTATTTTTGCAGGCCTGTCTTGAAATTGCTGCCATAGATATAAGATTTAAAGTGAAAGCTGGGATAGACCAGTGCTGTACAGTGCTGAATGACCACCATCAGCTTCAAAACTAAGAACCATTTCCAGCTCTAAGGGGTAAGGTGTGACATTTAAATCTATGCGTGGAGGGGACTCTTAACTCTGGCATCAGGGAAGCTGTTTAAAAGATAACCTGCAGAGTCCCGGCTGCTTCCTCGGCTGCTCTGACAGGTGCCATTGGGCTTTGGCTGGTAGACACGAGGGGGTTTTGTAAATGGGTGTCCTTTGCCACTTTTGCCCAAGAAAATGGAAACTTTTGAAGACATCTTGATGATAGATGAAGCTTTTGTCAGAAAAGCAAAAGCTTGGCATTTGAGGCCAAACTGAATTGTGTATGTTGCTGCCAGTTTGTAAGCTTATTGTGAATAGTTCCTAAAGGCACTACAAATTACTTGAAGTCTCTTTTCCGTGCTTTCCGGGAGTTATTGCTTACGTACCACCGCATTGCTCCCGTTTCCCTGCAGGTTTTCCCTCCCCACTCCGAGTGTACGTGGGCTCTCCTCCCCTGCCCGAACAGGCCGCGCCCACCCCCCCCCAGAGCCCCGACGAGGCGGTGTGCAGGCACCGTGACACGGGTGGTGCCGCCCCCGGCGTCGGGTTTGGGGGTGGGGGGAGCGCTCGGCTTCTGTGTGTGTTTTTGGGGGGGAGGGGGGGAGCGGCGGGCGGGGGGCCGGTGGGGGCCGGGCCGGGGGAGGGTCCCGGCGGGCGGTGCTGGCGGCCTCCCCCCGCCGCGGCCGCGGCTCCGGCTCCGGCTCGGGGGCGGCAGCTGGCGGTGGCCGCCGGGCCATGGAGGGGAAGAGCCTCAGCCTCGGCGTCCTGAGCTTCGGCGTCCTGCTCCTGGCCGCCGGCTCGGGGCGTGCGGAGCCGCTGCCGAGCTGCGAAGGCGTCCGGAAAGTTTTCCAGGTGCGGCAGCTCGGCCCCCTCAGAGGCATGCCGGAGTCCCCGCGGGCAGGTAGGGAAAAACTTGCCCGGGGAGGCGGGGGGAGAAGGCGCAAGGAGGGGACGGCGGGTTTGAATTTGGTGGTGCCGGCGGCGGGGCCGCGGCCCGGCTGGGCACGGCCGGTCACCCCTGCCCCGCCGCCGGGGCTTGCGTGGCTCCGGCGGGGTGGTTCTCCTGGACGGGGGGGCATGCCTGGCTCCTTCCTCCCGAGAGGAAAAGCTCTTCTTGGGGTGCGGGCTCCGCACAAGCTGGAGCGCCCCCGACGCTTGCCTAAAATCCCCTTGTGCCCACTTCCACGCCGCATCACGGAGGGGAGAGAGCGGGCGTGAGCTGAAGGGTCCTCCCCGCTTAGAGCCGTCCGTGGGCAGGCACAGATCCATCGGTGCCAGAGCAAAGCCTGAAGGACGGGGAGAGCCGCCGGACTGCGCCTTGGACTGGTGGAGTTTCTCGTGTGTGAAATGAGAATGATTTACACCACTGCAAGCGGTGGGTCTGCACGTTTTCTCTACTGGATGCGTGCCTATTGCTGTAATTGAATAAAATTCCCAGGAAAGTAATGTCTTAATGGCAGTTTAAGTGCATCCTAGCATTCATATCAACAATGAAACTTTTTTTTTTTAAGCGGATACCAAAAGACATTGCAAAGCATGTATGTAATAAGATGTACCTTGTTAGATTTGAGGTTTGTTTCTAGCCTTGTGAGAATCTTGGTTGATTTTAGTGGTGCTAATCACAAAATTAAAATTCAGATATTTGGTCAGGGATATAGAACTGGAAAATACTTTTTTTTTTTTTTTACACACATATCTGTAAAGCATGTTCGTGTTTAGACGACAAATTAACCAGTAAATGGGAGTCAGTATGTTCCTGACAGAAAATTATATCTCAATGCAACAAAAGCTGAATTAACATCCCCTTCACTTTAAAATACCAATAGTCTGTTTCTTTTTTTAAGATAATCTGTGTAGTTTTTATTAACTCTGCAAGTTCAGATAAGGCATATTATGTTTATTCCTTAAGGAATCACTTAAAAATACAGCTTTTCAATGTCTCATAACAGATAATCCTAAATTTAACACACTTAATATTGCAGCATGCAGTTTACAAATCAAAGTGCTACATTTGTTACCAGTACATTTGATAACATCCATTGTCTTCTTACATTGTCCTTAGCTAAATATTTTATTATTGTCTTTACTAAAAAGAAGATAAACACTTTATTTGGAAAGCCTGATTAAGTAGGTAATGTGCAAATGAAGATGTCTGGAAAGTGAAATCTGAGCCCTCTCAGTGATTTAAATTTTTTGTGCTGATTATTTGTGTGAATAATATCAGTATGAATAATATGGTATGAGTTTATCTATGTTGTTCTCATTCCATAGTCTAGTGTAACTATTACACTTTCTCTGCCATTGTAATTTATTTTCATATGCTACACTGACTGGTATTTTGGGATTAGGCAGGAAACATGTTGCCACCCTATGGTACCTTATATATGTTTCTTCTGCCCAGCTTTCTGGTTTCCTCACTTCCCCTATAATATTTTTATAACACCACTCTCATTTTTTTCTTTTTGACTTTTCTGTATTTCCTGTTCCTGAAGCAAAAGCTGGTTTTGAATTATAAGAGTAATAAAAGAGTTCCTTCTCTGCTGCTGCCCCTGCAAGCAGTGGTCAGCAGGAGGTGTGGTACAGCTGCGTGGTCAGCAGCCTTTCATGCTTTGAAGGAATTGCATTGCTGTGGGCAGCATGGAAAACACCAGCCCTCAAGGAGCCCAGTACAAGTGTCAGAGTTCTCACTCTGAGTAGCTTTGATGTCAGAGGTACATGAAGCAAATAATTGCGAACAGTAAAATCTATCCAGGATTGGAAACTACAAGAAAATGGGGATTAAATGAGTGTTTTAGAAGGTTTAGGTGAGATTAAAGGTATTCATAGGCTGGAAACATATTGTGAAGAGGAAAGAAATGTCACTTTTTCTACTGATCTATATTAAGCCTTCTTCTGAGGCAAGAGGTAGAAAATATTTTAAAACCTTTTCTGATGGTGCTTAGAAATGTGTGTGTAATACACACAAACACTTTCTGTAGGTGTCCGCTAATGAAAAAATGTGTTAAAGCTGCCTTTACAATGCTTAATTCAGTTGCTTCAGTGTAGGCATCTGGCACCATTTGGGTTTCCCTGGAGTCTCTGGAATATCCCGGCGGGGCTGGCAGATGCCTCTGGGAGACATGTGTCTTTCTGGAGGGACAGCGGGTGGCAGGTGGGATACCTTTGGCATCTCAGATGTTCCCTGTGGGCAACCGCGCTGCCGGGCCAGTGCAGCCAGTGACATCTAGGGGCTAGTCAACTGTCAGGTGTCAGCTTCACAGCGAGCTGCATAGGTCCTTTGCCTCTATAGTACCGCCGACGTTTCTTTATTTTAGTGGTACCTTAGACCTAGCTTGTGTAAGGACACCTTCATTTAAATGTCTGAAGCTGAACCACACCTTTTAGGTGGAGAAGGATCACTAGCTGAAAAAGAGTAGGAATGTTAATTGGTGTATGGGTTTGTATACAGTGGAAGGCTACCTCTACAGTCAGTAAAATTATAGGGGAGAAATCGGTTTATACTGGCCTTGTTTTCATTGCATATATAAAAATAAAAGACTGTAGCATTTACAGTCATATTTTTTCCTCTTCTGAGTGGTAATAAAAAGTAATCAACCTTGTATGAGTAAATCACGCAAATTGTAATTCTCTTTCATTCAGGGTCTGCCATGTGTCCATATTTGGATATATGTTAGCTAAAAAAATTATTCATTATTTCATATAATCAGTTTTGCAGCATACATTGTATGTAGTTCTTGTATCTTGAAAGGAGCAAAAATACTTGTATCAGCATAAGCAGAAATGGCAGATACATGCACAAACGTGATCTTGAGGGGTATGGGAACCAGAAATTTGTGTTATCATTCAAATAATACAGAGTATCATGGTGTTGAAGTTGTATATAGTCAAGAAAATATGAATATCTTTAACAAAGCCAAGATTTCTATTGCTACCCCCAGCAGTGAAGAAACTTGACTGTGCTCAATCTTCTATAGCAGTGATTTGTGAACTACAGTACAGATTTATGCTCAACCCCATCACATGCCATATTGAAACATTTATAGCTTTTATACAGATTTTAAATGTTAGTTACAAAAATACTTATTTTTTTCCTATCTGGTTCTGTGCTATGAGTGTGGTGGTGTTGGGGCTGTATAGAAAACCCTCAATAGTTAAAAATCTTAAAAGACCCTTTATATTGTATGAAGAATCAAAAAATATGCAAAGCATGAATTAAATATAAAAAGTCCTTAAAGGTTTGGTTTGTTTTTTTTTATTTTATTTTTTCTGGATTTATGACTTTGGTTTATTTAAAAAAACTGTCTGTAAAATACTTTTTTTTTTACATATTTTTATCTCCTGTGCTCAGTTTCTGGTATTGTAACCTAAACAACTTTCTTGAAGAATTCCCCATATATGCTGGTAATGCTAGACCTTTCAGCTGATTTCAGCAGCTCATTTTTCAGACAGGTTAAATGGGAGCTCTTAGCTCTCCTTGTTCTCTCGGTTGCAAGTAGTATTTTTTTTATTCTGGTTTCCTTCTCTGAGAGTTCGTAGAACAGCAGAATAGGGTGGACAGTAAACCAGTCACCTTTGCCTTCTTGACAAAGGGCTTCCAGTAGGTACATCAACAAACAAACTGTTAGGCTTCTGTTTGCACCAGAAAGCTGAATTCTCTGCCTTATTGGAAAATGTTACATTTGCTGGAACTGTAGAATCAAACAGTTACCAAAGAAATGGAAAAATGTGTGAGAGATATTTTTCCAAGTTCTCAGTGGGGTTTTTTGATGTGGGTTTTTTTTTTTTTTTTTTTTTTAGGAATCAATCTAGTCTTTTCAGCAACCTTTGGGAGGTCATGTATACAGTCGTGAGTACAAGAAACATAAAAAAGAGTGAAGACTGTGATGAGTATAAATTTTATTGCAAAGGCTTTTTGATAGAGAATTGTTATGAATGTGAAATTGAATAAATGAGAGAAACTATGCTTAAAGGATGAGATAATCTCAGCAAAAGCTGGTGTACAATACTCTTGTTAATTCAAGTTAAAACATTCTTTCTGATTCAGTTTAGAGTAACAATAGAAATCAGTTTAAAATCCAGAGCAGATTACTTTGATGCAACTCCAGAATCATCTTTGAGTTTTAATTTGGGTTTCTCATCTGGTTTACATTCCGCTAACTGGGATTTTGGTTCTATCTGAAGTCAAATCAAGAACTGTGGGGTTTTTTGGTCTGTGTAGGCAGGGGAACTTCTAATTACTCTGTTTGGCTAACTGACATTTAGATCTCCAGAAAAGGATTTAGGCAGAGACAAAAAGTGAGTTGCTTTATCGTATCAATTACTGATGTTCATTGTAGACAATGTCTGTTTTTGTAAGAACTGTTGCCCACAACATATCTTTTTTTGTGTGTGTGTGAACCAGCATACATTGTTGGTTCCTGTGTGCAAGTAGTATTTTGCATGTGGATCCATAAAATGATCTCTATGAAATAATTCTTGAAACATTTTGAGATTAAAACCAACAAAAAAATGGACTCAGCTACGTAGCAGCTTCCCCATCTCTATCTCCCGTATTTCACCTTCTCTAGGAAATCATCAGTGCTCAGCAGCCGTAGGACTTGATCTGTCTGGGATGACCCGAAAGGCAGTGTCCGTACTGCTAAACAGGACAAGGCACCAGCTCCTGCTTCTTGTGCTGATTGGAATAGATTGGCTCATGTCTACTTGCTTAAGGCTGGTATTCTGTAGAAGGGACTGACCGTCCTCACTTGTCGAGGTTTGCCCTTGAGTTTTCTCTAGATCCGGTATGATGCTCTTGTAATGCCAAAGCACTGTGGATTTTTAGCGTTCCCTTCCCTCGCAATTCAAGCAGTCTTAAAAATAGGAAGGCTTTTCACAGGCAGTGAGTGTAGTGTAACATGA